ATGCTTTTGAGTTGTGGTGCTGGCGAAAAATGCTGAAGGTACCATGGACTGCCAAAAGAACTAACAGATCTGTCCTGGAGGAAGTGCAGCCGAGATGCTCCTTGGAAGCGAGGATGGCCAGACTTCATCTCACCTACTTTGGTCATGTTGTCAGAGGGGACCATTCCCTGGAGAAGGATGTCATACTTGGCAAGGTGGAGGGTCAAAGAAAGAGGGGAAGGCCTTTGACGAGATGGATTGACATGGTGGCTGTGACAATGGGCTCAAGTATAGCTGGGATCATGAAGGTGGTGCGGGATCGGGCAGTGTTTCGTTCTGCTGTGCGTGGGGTTGCTATGAGTCAGAAGTGACTCGACGGCACCGAACAACAACAACAACTTATCTTCATCCTTGCTTTTCTTAATTCACTGTCTAGCTTTTGCATGCATATGAGGTGACTGAAAATACCACTGCTTGTATCAGGCACACCTTAGTCCTCAAAGTTTTGCCTTTTAACACTTTAAAGAAGTCTTTTGCAGCAGATTTTCTCAATGCAATACACCATTTAATTTTCTCTCTGCTGCTTCTGTGAGTATTGATTGTGGATCTAAGTAAAATGAAATCTTCAGTATTTCTCCATTTAGCATAAAGTTGCTTATTGGTCCTATTGGCATTAATGCATTTAAGTTATGTTATTGACAAAGAATATTGAATATACTATGGACTGCCAGAAGAATTAACACATCTATTTTGGAAGAAATATAGCCAGAATGAATGTTTCTTAGAAAGATGACAATGCTTTGTCTCACTTATTTTGAACATGTTATCAGGAGGGACAAATTCCTTGAGAAGGACATCATGCTTGGTAAAGTAGAGGGTCAGCGATAAAAAGGAAGACCCTCAACAAGATGGATTGTTGCAACGGCTGCAACAGTGGGCTCAAACAAACAATGATTATGAGGGTGGTGCAGGCCTGGGCAACGTTTCATCATTACATATAAGGTTGGTATAAGTTGGAACTAACTCAATGGTATACCTAACAACAACACTACTCTTCTAGTTCTAGCAACCATAAAATAAACAAGAAGGCAATTTCAGCATCACCAGTGTGTATAATACTGGCAGAAAAAACAAGCAAAGAGAAGTTAATTTCAAACACATGTATACACACTTATGATTAAGCAAGTAAGCAAATATAGGTAGACACCACAGTCTACCTTTATGCAGCTGGTCAGCTGGCTGCCATAGCTGATATTTATAACTTCTGCCTGACACTATCCATTTTGTTCCTTTATTGACCATTTATTAAATGATTATTTTGTGCTAGACCCTCTTCTAGTTGCTGCAGATAAAGTAGTCAGTATGACAAAGACTGACTTCATGAGGTTTTTATTCAATTAGGGAGACAAACTATAAACAAGTAAATGGTAAAGTATAATTTTAAGGTTATAAGGTAAGTGCTAT